CATTTGATTGTTATACATGATGATTGATTGTTTTGGACAGATGGGCCCTGTTTGCATGTGTTAAAAGACTTCTTGAGATTTCAACAGGAGGTTGGCTTGAAACAGCGATGGAGGCTACCTATGGGGCAGATCTGGTTGGCAGGCCGAGACTGATGAAGTCTTCCTGATGGGAATCAAAACGTTTCTCATAGGGGTGCACGATATTATTGGCATGGTATCGATATCGGACGATATTAGCGATAAATTTAAATATTGGACATCGGCCATTCTATCAAAATAACTCACCGATATAAAAGGATTCTGTTTTAAGTTAATTTTTAATACAAGAAACTCTCAAGTACATCTACTAATGCACTACCACTTATGCACTTTTCACTTGTCGCTTGTGAACAGGTTGAGTTTAGATTTGTGAACATTTACAAATTTGCACTGTTGGAGTGTTGTCGTTGTGTTAGAGAGTAAATGTCATGAATACATTTGACATTAAACATAATCCAAGTTGAAGTTTTACATCATTTTCAGACCCTTTTTATGGCATCTGCATTTGGTAGCACCATGCAGAATAATGTAGTATTTTTATGTAGTCTCTGTAAGTAGGTCTAGGGGAAAAATATCGGTATTGGTATCGGTTATCGGCCAAATAAGTTTTAACATATTGGCATATCGGATATCAGCCAAAAATCCAATATCGTGCATCCCTAGTTTCTCATTTAAAGAAACTGGTCCAGATCACACGATTTAACGTTATCTACTTGGATGATTGAGCTTACAAACCTTTTTTCAATAACCAAGTAGAAAAATGAAGATACTAGTCTATATATTTCTAAGTTTCTGTGTTCGTCTAAGTGTTGCAAATTACATGCAAGTAACTTTGTTATATTTTGTTCATTGAAAATGACATAAATCAAAATGATAGAAGTATCTCCCTTTCAAATAACTTGGATACGCTTTAACGACAGCAAACATCTCAAACAGTGCATAATTACACAAGGATGATCAGGTTTTTGCTCAGATCTATCTCCAAAATATCATGAACCACCGGACACATTTTAATGAAACTTGCAGAAAGTAATCATTTTGTATACAAAGTACATCTACTGACTTACTTTTGGAGCCAACCTGATACAGAACAGCATCCACAACTAACTGACCTAAAAAAAAACACACAATGACTATAACTCAGTCAGTTGTACAGATAATGTGCAATGTTTTAGTGTGGTAGTTGTTGAGAGTCATCGCCACACATACTCCGAGTGTGAAATCCCACAATAAGGCAATGGATTACTGTTAATGTTATATTTAAGGATAGCTACAAGTGTCGTTTTAGGCGACGGGTGATATGCACGTCTGTCTTTTTTTTCTGTGCTGCTTCAGTCCGGTGATCCAAGTCCCTCTGTTTTAGTGAAGGTTAATTCAGGAAGCTCGTTGTTATCTACGGCCATGTTGGCCTATTACACAGTCTGTATTCAGACAAACTGCTGAGTTACCAAGATACCTGATCTGCTGAACTGGAAAAAAAAAAAGATTCATGGGAGAAGCATCAGGACTCTGTAAGCTCCTCGGTGGCACAGTCACTTATCTCAGCCCACAGGCCTCATTTAACCACACACACACCCACACGGTCCGGACTCACTGTTCGTTTCACAAAGATAACACAACAACTGTGAATGCCGGACACAGAACTCCACTCCACTGCACCACGCCGGCTCTCTATCGATTAGCTCATCACAAACATGAGGTCATCAGCTCCGCCCCAGTGGCTGATGGGATAACTCCTGTTCTGTAAAAACCAGCAGAAGAAGCGACAAGCATTTCCTTTTTATTCCCTCTCCCATCATTTCTGTCCATTCCAGTTCCTCCGAAAGCTTTAGCTCTGCAGACTCCAGCCATACTTGATAACCACTTAGACATTTCAATCCATTTTCCTCTGACTGCCCTGCTGAAGTGCCCCCCCCCCCCCCCCGATTAGCGCTGCGCTCCACATTCAAAGACAGGAAATCACGTGACCAGAACTGGATCGATTCGAGTGCATCCTTCGCCGTTGCACTGTACTGTACAATGAGTTACATAACCTGCTTAGAACTCGCCACTCTGGGAGTTTGCAACACAAAGGCACAAATAAATAAAAAAATATATCCTGATTATAGACTGGAGATTGGTTTGAGATTTCCAGCAGCACATCTCATCCCAGTAATTTGATCACTTACTTCAGCGCAGAAGATTGTTTGCTGCCATAAACATTCTGTACCAGATGCATGCTTTTCCTTCAAATATACCAAGCTAAGAGGATATTAGATACTATTTATTTCAAAGCATTGTCTTTTAAATATTCCCACTTGAATTATTTCATCCTCACTGTTCTTAGGGGATAAAGACTTGTTCGCCTGTGTGTCCTGTCTGTGGTTAAACTCCACACCAGACCACACACACACCAAAAAAGAAAATCTGTGCAGATATTTTGTTTTCAACGTAATAAATGTATCTTGAGTTATTATTTCCTGTTTAGTTTCTTCTGTACATTCTTTACCTACCTTCAGCTATATGAGCCATTCAAGTTTTTAAATGTTCACCCCTCGCACAGTGATTTCTGGACATGGGCACCGGCGACCCCCGTGACCCAAAATGGAAGAAGCGGGTAAAAGATAATGGATGGATGAATGGATATAATCTGGAATCTCATTTTTTTTTTTGTTTTGTTTTGTTTTTTTAAAACGTGCTCTTTGAAAACTACTTCAGAATATTGCTACTTTTTTTTTTTTTAGCTTTTAACTACAATTTAGCTAATGCTTTGTTAGTTTTAGTCACTTGCTACTCTTTGAGTAATTTGACCTTTTAGATACTGTTCAGCTGGTTTTATCTATTAGCAGTTGTTCTGTGCAAATTTAGCTTTCAGTTACTGTTTTGATGGTTTAGCTTAAAGCTACTGTTTCACTAGTTTTGGCTTCAAGCTACTCTTCGGCTGTTTTTTAGCATAAATAGTTGTTCTGATAATTGTAGCTGTCAATTGCTATTTTGACAGTTTTAGTTTTTAGCTATGGTATAGCAAATTTAAGATTTTAGCCACAGTTTAATGAATTTTATTTTTTTAGCAACTGTTATGATCTTTGTAGGATTCTATTACTATTTTTGCTAGATTTAGCTCTTGGATACAATTTATCAAAATTTAGCTTTAGGCTACTACTCTGCTCAACTAACACACACATATATCACACATATATTTATACTGTATTACTGTGTGTGTCTATATATATATATACATACATACATACATACATATATACATAAACATACATACACATACATATATATACATACATACATACATATATACATAAACATACATACATACATATATACATATACATACATACATATATACATAAACATACATACATACATATATACATATACATACATACATATATACATATATATATATATATATATATATATATATATATATATTTGTGTGTGTGTATATATATATATATATGTATGTAGAAATACACATAATGTATGATTGTATGATGATCCTTAACTTAAGATTTATTCTGTTAACTACTTGAGCATACACACCTCACCTGTCTGTTTTTTTTAATTTACATATTTGTAGATATGTTCATTTATACCAATTTACGTGCAACTATTACGAGACAAAAGTAAAACTTAGCCATGCATCATTACATTGAAACTTTTTCACAGTTGAACACATTCCCTCAGTCATCGCTCTAACGATTCCCTCACGCAACGAAACAAGGGGACACCACTGAGACGCTGGGGAGGACATGGGAGGGGCTCTAAATGAAAAGGTCATACCTTGTTCACCTGTTTAACAGAAGACGCCACATCAGAGTGATAACTGCCGTGCAGGTATTCAGCACACACATGGACATACAGAAAAACTACGGTAATACAATGTGAACAAGACAACAGGAAATGACAAACACGACTTTTTCCAGGGATAAACGTACTGGCAACGTAAAACCCTTGCCCTTTTGTTCAAGATCAGGTGTTAAATCAGACCAGCACAAATTTGTCAAACAGTGGTAATAAAAACGGTGTCTGCATGTTCATACAGGAGAAAAACACTCAGAGACACAAACACAACTTTACCTGGAAGCTGCTATTTCCACTTTACTCCTTGCGATGGCTGCAGCCCTCTGTGCCCCCTCCACAGCCCGATCTACCTTCTCTTTGGTTTTGGGGTTCTTAAGAGGGATCAACTGCTTTCTAATTCCACGCACCAGCACATTATTTTTGTACTTCCCTTCTTCTTTGGTGCCTTCTGGGAAAACTGTGCACCCGTAACCATGGCGTTTGTTGTTAAGCCATTCCCCTTCATATTTCATCCCGTTGGATCTCTCTGAAACACCAAACCCGTTCCGCTTGTCGTTCTTCCACTCGCCCATGTACGTCTCAGTGGTGGTCGCGTCCACATGGTCCTCCTGAGGTAGGTCCTCATCCGGCAGCTCGCCATCGCCGATAGATATGGTGGAGTTGGCGTCGCTGGAACTGATGCGACTCATGGTGGCGTCGCTTCTCGCAGAGCTGCGCTTGCTGGAGATTGAAGTCCGAGAGTCAGACTTGCGCAGCTGTCGGAGGCTGCCGAATAGCGAGCCCCGGCGGAACAGACCCTTTTTCTTGCCAGTGACGACCTCGCTGTCCGAGTGGAAGTTGAGGACGAAGCCTCCGCGGCTGCCTGTCGGCGTGTCGGCAGGGGAGGAGAGGTCATGGAGCACAGTGCCGTTGCTCTGCTCGGAGCGCAGGGAGGCCATGGATGTTCGTAGCGGGGAACGGATGACGGTGGCCATGCCATAGGGAACACTCTGACGGACGCCATAGCCATGGCGCATCCCACCCATCCACTGACCTTGATAGGTACCTGGAACACAAAGCAGATAGCCAATTAATTTTGAGTGATTTCTAACAGTTTTGGCTTGTGATACTGATCTATCCTTCATTTTTAATGGTCCACAATGGCACCTACTGTAGTACCTTTTGTTAACTCAAGGACAATAAGAGGGTTAAAGTGTTTGTTCCTGTGGGGAGCTGGTGCCCATCTCTGCTGTCAATGTAGCTCCAGCTGGTGAGAGGTAGGATACGTCTTGGACAGGTTGTCAATCTATCACAGGGCCAATGCATAAACAACCATACACAGTCACCCCAAAGGCCAGTTTAGGATCTACAATTAACCTAACGTGTATGTTACTAGACTGAAAATGGAGTACCGGGATAAAACCCGTGCATGCACAGGCAGAACATACAAACTCCACACATAAAAGCCCCAGTTAATTTCAAACCTGCAACCTTCTTCAGGTGAAGCGCCATTTTGCATATGAAAGGGTTCAGTTAGGGTCAAGCTTCGGTCCTCCAAAAAGCTATCCACACCAGGTAAGATATTTCTTGTTCACAAACTTTTCATTGAACCCCACTTCGTAGAGCTGAACTTTGCCCTCAAGGGAAATAAATTCTAGCATTTTATGTGATTTATATATATTTTTTAAGTAAAAGATTTTGAATAAAGAATTATTTGAAAGTGATCACATAAAAGGTTTGGTGCGGTGTTAGGGTGCGATCGACATCACCTAATGAAATGCTTTCCCTTTAGATCTGTGACAGTGAGCATAGGTAACTTAATCACCATGATTTGATTAAGATTCAAATAGTCATTTGGGATGAATGTGATTCTCTGAGCTAGGTGCCTATTTTGAGACGAGTTCACCACTAGCTGTTTCTCTCTCTCTGACCGCAGGGAGTTCCTATGAGTCACTTAATGAGGAGACCACTTCATTAATCCCATTTGGTGCTGCTGGGCCCAACGAGCATGTTGCTGCAGCAGCACCTTCCAACACTTATCCTCACAACAAGGAGGACTCGTTAACATGAGATCTCATTTAGCAAACACCATAAACATAAAGAAAAGAAGAAAATAAAATTACACGCTAGCTTAGGCGGCCATTTAGATGGATAAACAGCGTAAGATTAACGGGCTGCAGTCCAAATTTGGTGACCCTGCAGATCAAGTTATCAGGATGTGGCAAAGCCAGACAGCCAGATGTGGAGGAGATCCTGTAGGATCAAATGATTTGCCAAACCCCTGCGATGTGTAACCATTGTTCTGCACCGTGAAGCCTCAGTTAACATCAGCTGGAGACTTGGGTGTTTTATGAGAATTGACCACATGGCTTTAACTTGGCTGGGATCCTGTCTCTGAGATGACAAAGCTAAGGGAAGGGGGGGTCTCACGGAGCTCACTAACCCTCTCACTGTCAGCATATCCAGGAGGATGCACTTAAAATGGCTGAATGCTTAGATCAGCTCCCTGAATGCGTCTGCATTAAGACACCAGGAAGCAGGAAATCCACTTGTACAAACTGGCACCTTCTCCTTTTGTTTCAAACGTGGGGACCGTTTCATCCAAGTTCTTAAGAGAGAAGCTGGAGATGCTCGGACCACTCTGAGCTATAAATGGTCTGATTTGCTTTGATTTACAAACTCCCTCTTCATCAGACATGCGGAGTCTCACTCCTCCCAACAAGCAGCCGGTGGTCAACAACAAAGACAAGATAATTTAAATAAACGACCTAGCAACCCCATGTCAAATCGTGCACAGAATACATGTTGGATGACTCTCAGCTACTACCACATGCAATTTTAGCTCCATGTCTGAGTTATAGCCATATTTGTGTTAGCTGAAATTGCTGTGGTGGCCATCTTGAATTATTGATTACTTTTTGAAAGTATAATTAAAATCCATTCAATGGTTCAGGTGATATTTTGCTAACAGCCCAACTCCATGCTAAAGTTTTAGGGAATCAGATTTGGCCTAGGCGTAATTGTTGATACTAATAATCAGCTACATCAAGATTTAGCACCATATCTCTAAAATTAACCGAATTAAAGCCATATTTGTGTTTTCTACTTTCACTTAGTTTTGGTGGACAAGTTGAATCGGATTAGCTCCAAAAGCTAAAAAGTTGTAGAGGACCATCCACAGATTATTTCCTGAAAGTTTCTCTAAAATCCGCCCCGTGGTTTTTGAGATATTTTGCTAACAGACAAAAAGACAGAGTATAGTAAATGTTGAAAAAAAAAAAAAAATTGCACAGATTTCGCCCAGTCAGCTATAGCGCTCAGAGTCCAAGTCCGGGATCTGCCTCAGCTACACAACAAATTTCAGCTCGATCTCTGAAAAAAAACAGCTGAATTATAGCCGTTTTTGTACTTCCCAATTTTGCTTAGCTGTGGCGGCCATCTTGAACCCATTTCACTCGAAAAGTTCAACACTTGTGGACAGAAACCCAGGGGTTAGTTTCTGCAAGTTTCTTTGGAATCCGTTCAGTGGTTCATGAGATGTTTCGCTAACAGACATAAACGCATGCGCACAAAAGCGAAAACAAGATCGCCCGCCGTAAGCTAAACTGTTGAGTGAGGTGAGGTGCGGTGGGGGCTCCAATAGAGACTGAGCAACCTACACACAGCAGTTAAAGGAGCGCGCGCTGCCTCTCTCACCTCCATCGCAGTAGGTTTCGACCCCGTATCCATCCTGCAGCCCGTTGCTCCAGGTCCCTTCGTACCTGGCAGGTGTGTTGTGGCTCTGCCGGACTCCGTAGCGCCCCTTGAAGCCGTGGCTCCACTCCCCGCGGTACACCCACTTGCCTTTATTCTCCACGCCCAGCCCGTGCCGCTTCCCCTGGGACCAGTAGCCCTTGTAGGTGTTCCCGCTGGGCCAGGTGTACACCCCCACTATCTCGAAACCGTGCGACCAGGACCCGGCGTACTCGCCCTGGCCCTTGGGTCCGGTGCAGATGCCGTGTCCGTGGGCTTTGCCATCCTCCCACCCCCCGCAGAAAGTGCCGCCGTCGTCGAAGTCAAACCGTCCGCCCGTCATTCAGATCGAGAGGAGGAAAACGGCTGGAGATCCAAGCGCTGCGTCCGACGCTCCAGGACCGGAGGCTGGACCGGGTGGGGTGGGGGTGGGGGGGTGTGATGGCAGGATCGAGGCGGCAGCAGGATGATGATGATGACTAGAGAGGGGCAGGGGGGGGGGGGGGAGAGGATGAAAAATAGCCAGACTTGTAACACAAAAGGCACGCGTAATGATTAAAAGTAAAGGTATGGGCGTCATTTACCGGCAGGGTTCTCCGATCGGTGCTTCTCGTCTCCCCCCTCTCACCCACTGACCACAGAGGGAGGGAGGGAGGTATGGAGACCCTGCTGGAGAAAGGCTGTGAGCCAACGTCACGCCGCACGGACCTCCCACTCTCACCCCACCGTCATCCCCCCCACCCACCATTCTGAACCCCACCAAAATAAGACACCGCTATATTTACAGGACGCGCCACAGGTGTGAATTCCGACAGTAGCTGTTTGACTAACACAATTATTTGTCCAGGATTATCAATAATGAGATTATATGATGTCATTCCAATCAGATATGATCACATAAAAAAAAAGCTGATTATGTGCGTCTTGTTGCTCAAATTCGTCATTTTCAATAGAAACAGTTTTGTTTATGTCGTTAAGCGCCATTAAAACAAACAAGTACGCATCTCTTTTACAACTGAATATTAAAAGAAAACAATAATTACATTTTTAGTTGATGCAGCAGGTGCTTCACCTGAATTATGGCCTTTATTGTGAGCACTTTTAACAGCGCAGTGTAGGTGACAGCGCCCTCTGCTGGTTAATTACAACAACGTCACCGCGCATATATTTTTACGCGTCAGCGAAGACCGTGACGTCACGCGTTGCTCTGAACAGACAAAATGGCGTCGGATCTCGGCTCCGAAGCTCAAGATGAAAAAGCTGCTCTCATACAAAAGAACCCGGACCGAGACGGTCATCAACAGAGTGTTAGAGTTGGCAACAAACAAGAAAACAACCTGAAGCTTTATCACTGGACGCAGAGTTTTAACTCCCAGAAGGTAAGGAGGCGTCCTCAGGCTTCAGCACCACAACTCCATGGACAGCTCCCCATTAGGTCAACAACACACTTAAAGAGACATTTCAACGCTTTTAGCTCGAAGTCATACCAAATAAATCGACCTTACATTATATCAAAACGTTCATTACTCACATATTTGCCAACATAACAGTAAAAGCTCATTTTATGGGTTATTTAACTGTTGTTTTATATTAAAAACAGCCATGTCCAGTCATGTTTCATAACAGTAAAGCTTATATTGTGAATGTTTATGAAGCATTCAGACTATTGTGATCCATTTTTCTTCCGTATGTTTTTCGGCATCTTTCTCATTCCACAATTTTTGTGCAATTTCAGCAAATTGTAAATCAAAATTTTCAGCTCGTTCAGGAGAAGAGTGCTATGACTTTTGGTATTGGTGCGACTTTATATTTTTGAAATATTTAGCCTTTTCTGCCACTTTTAGTCTCATTTGAAATGAATTGAGCTTATTTTACATCCTTCAGATCTTTAGATCTGTTTGCAAGCTTTTTCTGCTCCTTTCACATTTTGTTCTGGTTCAGCTTTTTTTCAGCTTCCTTGTGCAAATGTAAACTTTGTTCAGCTATGTTCAGCTAGTCAGCTGTTTTTACAGCTGTTTTGTGATTCTTTTAGATTCTTTCTGCTAACTAGAAGATGTTTTTGCTTCTTCTATAATTTCAGCTTATTTATACAAGTTTCAGCTTTTTCTGCTATTTCAACTTTAGCTTTTAAATGCTAAATTTAGCTTTTTCAGCTAATTCTAGATTTTTTTGCAATAATTTCAATTTTTGTCAGCCCAATTCAGCAAAAATGTGCTTTCTCCACGCTTTCTGCTAACTTAAGCTTCTTGTTGCTGTTTTAGCTACATTTCAGCTTTTTAAAATTTTATTATTTTATAATTTTTTTAACTGCTCCTTTCACATTTTGTTCCACTTCCGCTTCTTTCATCTTCCTGGTGCAATTTTTTTTCAGCTACTTTTAGCTACTTTCAACTGTTTTCTGCTCCTTTAAGGTTCTTTCTACTAACTACAATATTTTTGTGCTTCTTCTAACTTGTTTCTGCTAATTTCAGCTTATGCAAGTTTCAGGTTCTTCTGCTATTTCAACTACTATTTAGCTGTTTTATGCTTTAGCTTTATCGGCTAATTCCATATTTTTTGCACTCATGTCAATTTTTTTCAGTCTAATTCTGTAAAAATGTGCTCTCTCTACTTCCGTCTGGTAATGTAAGCTAATTTCTGCATTTTTTTTAGCCAATTTCAGCTTTATTCAGATAATATCCACTTTTTTCAGCCGTTTTCTCCTAGTTTCAGCTTTTTCATTTCTTTCAGCTATGATTTAGCTCTGTTGATGCTAATTTTTTTGCTTTCAGCTAATTCCACATCTCATTTCAGCTCTTTTTGCTTCCTTCTGGTAGTTTAAGCTTTTTTGTTTTGTTTAGTTTTTTGCCTTTGCAGCTACTTTTCAGCTACTTTTTAGCCATTTTTGAAATTTTTGTGCTCATTTCTGCTCATTTAAACATAATTCCGCAAAGATGTGTTCTTTCTGTTTTCTTCTACTAATTTGGGCTTCTTCTTCCATTTCATCTACATTTCAGATCGTTTTTAGCTAATTTTAGCTGTTTTTCAGCAAGTTCTTCTACAATAAGCATTCACACTGAATTTTCATCGTTGGAACAGGAAGTAAAAGTATCAGACTCTAATTGAATTTCTATTAACATTTCCGGCTGTTCTTCAGGTTCGTCTGGCCGTGGCAGAGAAGGGTTTGCGTTGTGAGGAGTACGATGTGAGCCTTCCTCTCAGCGAGCACAACGAGCCGTGGTTCATGAGGCTGAATCCTGCAGGCGAGGTGCCCGTCCTGGTCCACAACAACAGCGTCCTCTGCGACCTGACACAGATAATGGACTATCTGGAGGAGAACTTTAAGGGCGGTGAGGACGATGATGAAATCTCATTTAGAACATTTAAAGTCTTTTGTTCTGTTGATTTCAACACATTTTTAATGTTTTCTGTTGTTTTTTTAAACTGCATCATTTGTGTTTAATGTTTTCTTGGTTTGCATTAATCCACAATATGTTAAGAGTCTGCTTCACAAAGAAGGGAACTCTGGTAAGCACATAGTTAGAGAGGAGTTTTATTTGCCTAACTCTTAGAAAAATGTTGTTTTTTGTTTAGTATTAATTTTACCTTCTATGTAAGCATTTTGTAAACAATAAAAGCATAATAAAATCATGTTTTCCCCACCTGTGCGCCTCCAGAGAGCGTTCCCAGACTGGTTCCTGAAGCAGGAAGCAGATTTTATATCAGAGTGCAGCACTACAGAGAGCTGCTGGACTCACTACCGATGGACGCCTACACACACGGCTGCATCCTTCATCCTGAGATCACCGTGGACTCCTACATACCTGCATATGCTGCCACGTCCATACGAAGTAAGAGCGTCTCAGACGCAGAGCAGATGTTTCTCTCAGTTTCATCATGCTGGACTCTATGTTTTATAATTTATAACAAGCTTCTTTGTCTTTTTGTTGTATTTATTGACAGCACAGATTGGAAACACGCAGACTGAGCTGGAGAAGCTGGCTGAGCAGAACCCAGAGCTGAAAGATGCTTATGAAGCCAAACAGAGGCGCTTAAAGGTAAGCTAATACACAAGGAGGGTGCTAAATGCGTTGAAATGTTTAAAAGTTTTGTGATTTACACTTTAGGCTGCTCCAGAGTCCATTCCTGCAACTAAAAGTTTAAATCTAAAATATTTTGTTATGAGGTAAATACCCACGTTGAGAGATGTTCTTGGAATTTATTGCACTCACCAGTTTAACTAGAGAAATTGAATTTCCTGCGAAAATACAGTGCAAATGCTTATTGCTGAAGAACTTGCTGAAAAACAGCTGAAATTAGATTTAAAACATGATGAAATGTAACTGCAATGGAAGAACAAGCCTAAGATATCAGAAGAAAGCAGAAAGAACACACATTAAGCAGAAATGAGAGCAACATTTAGGAAGTTAGCTAAAAAAAATTGATATTTGCAAAAATAAAAAAAGGCTGAAAAGTAGCTGAAAAGGCAGAAAGAAGCTTAAACTACCAGAAGGAGCTGAAATGAGCTAAATTAAAAATATGGAATTGGCTGAAAAAGCTAAATTTAGCACAATAACAGCTAAGAATGTCTGAAATGCCAGAAAAAGCTGAAACTAGCAGAAAAAAGCTGAAAGAAGCATAACAAGCTGAAATTAGCAGAAAAACGTTAATTAGGCTGAAACTAGCAGAACTTACCATAAAAAAACTTGAATTTATCTGAAAACAGCTGAAATTAGCTTAAAAATGCTACACAGTATAAAGTAGCTGAAAATGTAGAACAAACTTAAATTAGCAGAAGAAAGCAAAAAGAACACATTTGCTGAAAGGAGTAGAAATTAGCACAAAAAGTAGAAATTATCTGGAAAAAAAGCTGAAATTAATAAAAAAGCTGAAAAGTGTCTAAAAAAGCTGAAAGAAGCTGAAATTACCAGAAGAAGGTGGAGAGGTCCCATTTTTGCTGAACTAGACTGAAAAAAAGTTGAAACAAGTGGAAAAAATGTAGAATTAGCTGAAAAGGCTAAAATTTGCATTAAAAACATCTAAATAGTAGCTGAAATAGCAGAAAATTCAGAAACTTTCAGAAATAAGCTGAAAGGAGCACAACAAGCTGAAATTAGCAGAAAGAAGTTAGAAGAAGCACAAAAATGTTGTAGTTAGCAGAAAGAAGCTAAAAGGAGCAGAAAACAGCTGAAATGAGCTGAAAAAAACTGTTTAAATTTACACAAGGAAGCTGAACCAGAATAAAATGTGAAAGGAGCAGTAAAAGGTTGTAGACAGATCTAAAGATATGAAGGATGTAAAATGGGCTCATTTAATTTTCTGCGAGTTGTTTAAATCTATTTTATGTTTTCAGAAGTTTTGGCAACAAGTTTCAACCCCATCTTTGTTTTTATTTTATTTTTATGTCCATTTACGATGAGGCACGGCACTAAACGTGTGCCATAAATATGTCTGTGTTTGTAGTCAAAGTTGTTTGAGCACGACAACATGAAGTACCTGAAGAAGCTTCTGGACGAACTGGAAGGTGTGATGGACCAGGTGGAGACAGAGTTACAGAGGAGGGTGGAGGAGACGCCAGGTAACCATGGCGACCTCTCACTTTGCAATAATTAAACGCAGCACTTACAGAACTTTTCTCCCTCTCTCTGTTCTGCTTTTGTAGAAGAAGGCAGCCCATCCTGGCTTTGCGGGGACTTCTTCAGCATGGCCGACATCTCTCTGGCCGTCACGCTGCACCGCCTGAAGTTCCTCGGCCTCTCCCATCGCTACTGGGGCAACGGCCTCCGAGTCAACGTGAAGACGTACTATGAGCGGGTGGTGGAACGGTCGGCCTTCAGGAAAGTTCTGGGCCACGTCAACAACATCCTGATCTCTGCCGTCCTTCCCGTGGCCTTTCGAGTGGCTAGAAAGAACGCGCCGGTTCTAGTCGGTGCGACGCTGCTGATCGGGATCCTCGGAGGAGCTACGTACTTCACGTTCCTCTGCGTGAAGAAGAGACTGTCTTCTGTCAGCTGAGGCACAATGGGGTGACTTAAGACAACATTAAAGTATTTAAAGAGATCAATTAACTACATTCACAATATTTAACGGAACAAACTTTAATTTTGCAGAGCGTTGCTCACAAAGGATTTATTCATCCTCGCAGAATGCTTGTTCAGGAAAACCATGACTTATATAGACGAGTATGGGATGTTTAGCCTTTTTTCCTGTTATGTCAACTATGTATATAGATTATATTCACATGTGCTTTCTTTGTAGGAGGTTTGATAGAATGCCATCTCACAATGTATACATAAAGACATGTGACCTGAACCAAAAAATAAAGACATACTGTAATTCTCATCATGGCTGCACCTGAACGCACCATTCCTGTTAGAGCACAGTAGTCTGGACATGCAGTGATAATAAAACAGTGACATGGAGTAAAACAGCACAAAGATTAAAAATATATCCGTTGAACAAATTAAACCAGCAGAACCCCAAACATGAGGTCAGACGTCTCGATTTGTCTAAGAGTCTGAAAGGTTTGGCATATCGTGTGCTTGCTTCTTGTTATGACTGCAAAGATGTTTTCAGAGTAATAAAATGTAATAAACTCAGTACTTTTCGTTTGCTTTAGTTGCAACTAGTTTTGCCTAAACTAAACGTTATGATCTCTGCAAATAAAAACTGGGTCTAAAAATGACAAGGCTCTTGAAGAGGTCTATGTTTGTTCCTCTTTATATGTTGAGATTCTGACATGAACAACTTGTAAACAACCTCTTTGACTGTAGCTGAGAATGGCAGACTCTTGGTTTAAATCAGTATTTAGAATACCCTGTTTACAAAAGTCTGCATGTCTATATTATCATTTACCACATGCTGAGCGTGAAATTTAATTTATCTTATTATAAAATAGATCCAGAGTCAAACTTATGATTTTATTGAGTAACAAGACAGAGTCACTTCAAAGAAACGCTTATGGAAAATAGTTTCATTGTGAAATCGCAGGTTGCCATTTAACAATAAAACAATTTTCCATAAGTGTTTCAGATCTATCTGTCTGTCTGTCTGTCTGTCTGTCTGTCTATCTATCTATCTACACATATACACACATATATATATGTATATATATGTATAAATATATATACATATACAATTACATACATATTGAATTCTAGAATTGCGCCACTCAAGGTGGCTGCATGTTGGAGCAGCTCTGTTACTTTCATTCTGAGATTTTGCTTTTGGAAACTTTAATTCCTCTTTTTCTGGATGTAAATCACATTTTTTGGATGATTGTTTCCTCTGGTATCAGATGCTGTGCAGCTGGAAGGATTTTTACTGAAACTTTTTTAGTTTTGGACATTTGTTATGATGCGTAACCATGGCAACAAGGCAGTTT